ATAGATCATGAGAGCAGGGTATTATTAGTTGACAATGGAGAGCGATTGCATTGACTAAGCTCAAAAATATCACAAATGCCAGATTTATGCTAATAAGATTCATGCTTCGTCATCTACTTTATATGTTTTGGCACTACTCTGGCTATTCTTAATGTGAAGCATGTATGTCATTAGTCCTATAACCCCAAAGGCTTCTAATGGGTATAAGTTCATTTTTGTAATGATAGATTATTTCTCGAAATGGGTGAAAGCAGCATTATTTGAAAGTGTGATACAATTTATGGTCTACAAGTTCATAAAGAAAAAATTATTTGTAGATACGAACTTTTAGAGAGAATCATTTTAGATAATACCAACAATCTAAATAGTAAGATGTTACAAAAAATATATGCCCAGTATAAGATTAAGTATCATAATTCAACACATATCATCCGAAAATAAATGGGGTAATTGAGGTAATAAATAAGAATATTAAAAAAATTTTAGAGAAGATAACTGAGACCTATAAAGACTGGCATAAGAAGTTATCATTTACGTTGTATGCTTATTAGACATCGATACTAGTTCTACTAGGGCAACCCTTTTTTTTTTGGTTTATAAGATGAAAGCTGTATTACCAGTAGAAGTGAAAATCCCATCTTTGAGGGTTCTAAAAGAAGTTGAACTGGAAGAGGCTAAATGGATTTGAGAGCGCTATGAACAGTTGAATTTCATTGAAAAAAAAAGATTGACAGTGCTGTGTCATGATCAGTTATATCAAAAAAGAATGATGAGGGCTCATGATAAAAAAGTTTGACCTTGTTGCTTTAGGGAAATGAGAGTTAGTCTTCAAAAGAATTCTTCCAAACTAGCACGATAATAAAGAAAAGTGGACTCCGAATTGGAAGGACCATATGTTGTAAAACGAGCTTTCTCGAGTGGAGCATTGATATTAGTTGAGATGGATAGAGATGATCTACCTCATCCTATAAATTTTGATGCTGTGAAGAAGTACTATGCTTAAAAAAAAGAAAAAAATAAAAAAATTTAAAAAAATAAAAAAAAGAGAGAAAAATAAAAAGGAAGACTTAAATTGAAAACCCCAAAAGAACAATTTGAGTCAAAGGGGGATTATCTAAGTTGAAAATCTAAAAAGATGACTTAGATAAGGATGTTATAGTATTGAATTTAAAAATTCATTAGCATAAAGAGGCTAGCATGTTCTGATGAGATCTAAGTTGTTAAAGGCATTAGGTGGTTGAGTTTTTTGAAAAAGACTTCGAGATATGTTATCATGATTGTTTGATTGTTTATTATAGGCATTGTCTCTCTATACCCATCTTTGTAATTCTTTTCTTGTCACACTGGCCAAAGTTGTGCTATCATTTTTGCTAGTAAAAGACATTCAATTTCATTTTTTGTGTTTCTCTTTTTGTTGATTATTTCCCAACCATTCTTACTTTTTTCTCTTTACTACCTTACAATGAAAGAAATGTGTGATTACATTCTTACTTTTGATATTGAAATAATGATGGATAAATGAATAATAGCATGAAAGATTTCTACATTATCTTGGAAAGGTTAATGTGATAAAGGCAAATATGAAATGTTCAACTCTTAATAAGGATAATGGTTAAAAAAAAAAAAAAAAGAAAAAAAATTTCTTGAAATAGAAAAATAGGAGTTAAATGAGAATGATGATTAGTACATGAAGATTGAAGGGTTCAGAGTTCAAGGAAAGAACTTGAGAAACTTGAGTACCACAATTGAAAAGAAGTTAATTAGCATTTGCATAACGTGGATTGCATTTCTAAATGTTGAGTGCATGGCATGTATTACATGTCTAATGCAGGAAGTAGGGGTAATCTAAGATCATACATGGAAAAGATAGATGTAAAACTTTTTGATGAAAAAGTTTTAAATTCTCGTTTGAGAAAAAACTTATAAGGTAAGATTCTAATCTTTTTAAGAGGATATTTCTCAATGTTAGGAACGATTTGTAAGACCTTCGGGCAAAATCTCCTAAAATTTCTTCAAGACAAAATCTATAACTCCTCTGGACATGATTGTAGATGAGCCTTTTATTTTTTCAAAAGTTATTGTGCCTCTGTTTAAAGAAGCCTTTTATTTTTTAAAAGTTGTTGTGCCTCTGTTTATAGGAGCCTTTTATTTTTTCAAAAATTGTTGTGCCTCTATTTAAAGGAGCCTTTTATTTTTTCAAAGTTGTTGTGCCTCTGTTTGAAGGAGCCTTTTATTTTTTCAAAAGTTATCGTGTCTTTGTTTAGAGGAACTTTTTATTTTTTAAAAAGTTGTTGTGCCTCTGTTTAAAGGAGCCATTTATTTTTCCAAAAGTTGTTGTGCCTTTGTTTAAAGGAGCATTTATTTTTCAAAGTTGTTGAGCCTCTATTTAGAGGAGCATTATTTATTTTTCAAAGTTGTTGAGTCTCTGTTTAAAAGAGCTTTGTTCAAAGTCGTGGTGCCTTTGTTTAGAGGAGTTTTTTATGTTATTCAAGAGTCTAAGTAAAAAAAAAAAAGTGTGTTGAGTTGATTGGATTGTCTACGTCTTTGCACAATTTCTGTTTCATAGAAAATATGCAAAGAAGGATAACTGTAAATACTCCAATCTGGCTGAGGGTCTATTAGGATAATTTTGTTAATTAGAAAATAAAATAAAAAATAATAAAAATAAAAAATGAAAAAAGTGGTTGAATTTGTGTAAAATTGGGTCAAGAAGTTTGAGATAGATTGAAAAGGGTTGAATGGGGTTAAAGTTCGAAGAAAATTGGGATTTCTATTCGGATTTGGATTCTGTGATTTGAAAATCCTATAAATACCATACCTAAATCACACTGAATACATGAAAAACAGAAGCAAGAAAAAAAAAGTTGTTTAAAAGAGCAGAAGCAATCTTAGAAATTTTAGGAATTTTTTTCAAAATTTTTGGGCAATTTTTTTTGGAAATTTTTTAGATTTCGATCAAATTTTTAGTGGAATTTTTTAATTTCCAGCAATTTTTTTTTCAGTTTTCGGTGAAATATTCAACCGAATTTTTAGGTTGGTAGAGAGAGGGAGAGAGAAAAAGAAAGAAGAAAGAGAAGGGGAAGAGAAATTTGAAGGGAAAATCAAAAACCTTTACCTTTTAGATCACCCAAAAATGACATCATTTTGGTGTTTAAAAGAATCTAAGATCCATGCGTTTTGCTAATGGGTGATTCGACCTGAGCATTGACCTATTTTTTTACCCGTGGTCCGGTCCTAGGCTCTAGTCGAGCGGAGCCGAGCCATATTGAGCTGCCAAGCCGTATCCCCCCGAGCCGCATCCCCCCAAGCCACATTCTGTGCCTTATACCGAGCCATTTCGCAGCCACCGAGCCGAGCTGTTTCATTTTTTGATATTTTTTGTTTTTATGTGTTTGTTTTTTTTTTTCTTAGTATTTTTGCATGAATAAATTTTGGGAAAAAATATAAAATATATATAAAAAATAAATTTTCTTTTAGAATGTGTATTAATTATCTAATGATAGAATTTTTAAAAATTTCAAATGGTAAATTTCTATAAAATTCTTAGGTCAGAACTTTTATCAAAATTTATCCCAAATTGTGAAATGATTTAGATAAAATTTCAATAACAATAATTAATATTTATTTTCAAATAAAAAAAGAAAAAATAAAATTTTTTTGTTGAAAGTATTTGACAAGTATCAAAGGACGAGAATCTTAAAATTTTCAAATGATAAATTCTTAAGAAGTTTTTAGGTGAGAAATTTTTTTAAATTTGTCTCAAATGATGAAAGAATTTAAATGAAATTTCAATAAAAAAATAATTTTCATATTGTTTTCTTTTCAAAAATTAAAACAAAAAAGAAAAAAAAATTCTAAATAGGCCCAAATTGTGAACAATTTAGAAATTCAAAAAAAAAAATTCTAAATTGACCCAATTGGTGGCAAATTTAGAAATCTAACAAAAAATAAAAAGAATTTCTAAATAGGTCCAAATGGTAGAGAATTTAAAAATTTTGAAAAAGAAAATATTTTTAATTTGGTCCAAATGATGTAATAATTAGATATATTTTCAATAAAAATAAGACTAAAAAAAATCTTTCTGACGACGGAGCCTCTTCAAGAAATCAAATGAGATTCTTGAATACTCTTGAGATGAGAAAATATTTTTAAAAATTTTATTAGATTGATGGAGAGTCTTAAAAATTATTTTCAATATTTGAACATTAAATTTTAAAACCATTAGAATCGAGACCCTATGATAAATTTAAAATAAAGCGGTACCATCCTTCGGATGGGCATGTGGGGGTGCTATAACCTTCTTCATATGTAATCGAACTCTCGAACTCTATTTTAATTTGTAGACCCAAACTTATTCTTTTAAGGACCCTTAGTCAAACTTAAGAACTCCTTAAAAAGATAGATTCCTTAAGTGATCAATCATACATAGATAAAAAAAATTGGTGACAATTTCATTTATTAAGTCTAGTTATAAATTTTCGGATCTATATGTTATGACAAGTGAATTTTTGTAGAGTTTTAACCTTTTACTGTTATACTTTTGAGTTGTAATATATATATATATATATATATATTTTTTTGTATTCTTTTTGACAAAAAAAGGTGAAGTAAAATTTTGGTTATGCCTTTACCTTGCTATATTGTACCTTCATTTTTCCAGTAAAATCAGCCTTTCTGCGAATATATTCTAAAATATAAATAATTTCAGCTAGCCCATTATTGGTCTTGCCAAAATCTTAAAATTAAATTTTCTGTATTCTTGGAATATCTTTCAAATCCAGATTTGCTTTTCTAATTCCAATTTTTAATAAATTACTGCTTTATTTGGCTGAAAAAATATTAAGTCATGAAGTTGGTTGTAAAATTTAATTAATTTTACACTGGTATAGATTACTCTTTATATATAAATATATATATATATTTGTAGATTTTCTGTTTTTATTTTATTTTATTTTATTTTTGGTTGATGCAAAGAGAAGGAGAAGAAACATAGAACGAACCTGCTATGAAACACTCCAAAAAGGTACTTGAGAACATCATGGGAATAAATTTGACAAGGTCTTCTACTTTCAAAGGAGGTAAAACTTCAAGTCTGTCCTTCCAAGGCCATAGTTTATCCTTCAATATTAATGAGCAGTAGACCTTAGCCAGCTCAGAGGGTTCTTGAAATTTGTTGTTGTGAATGTCCTTTGTTATCATTTCCTGATGATAAAGAGCAAAAGATGAAATTGTGGCAAAAAAAAAAAAAGATAAACTTAAAACAAAAGGTTATTAAATTAACACATGGAAGCAATACACTTGACTTATTGAAGTAACTTTCATATTAGATGTTTTATTAGATACTGAGCCAATAAGTTTCCATTTTTCTTAACTTTCCCTTCCAAGGTGGAGAGAACTATAGAATTTTATTAGAAATTGAATTTCTTTAATATAAGCTAGAATTTGGATTACAAAAAACATTAGAGAGATCTCCACAAAACCTTAAACCACCCAAATCACAATCTAATCTAGCTAAATTATGAGCAAAGAAATTAGCATCCCTCCTCGCATGAAGAAATTGGCATGAGTTACACTCGAAAGCAAGGTCCACAGTATCTTCATTAAGTCTTCCCGCTCCCAAAAACTCTCATCCTTTTTTGAGATTTCATCTGTAGAGAAGCAATAACATTGTCCTGACCCAATTGCAAACCAAACAAAGTTGCCTTGACCTCTGCTTGAAGGAACTTATCGACTTCAGAAATGACAACAAACAAAACCCTACCTTCAGAATCTCTTGCCACTACTCCCAAGCAAACTGTACTACCAGCCTCCAACCTGACAGCTGCATCAACATTGATCTTGATCACCCCTGGTGGCGTAAAGGCCACACAATATCGGACACCACGCTACCCGCATCCAAGCCTTGCCTGTCATGTACCCAGTGGAAATCCCCAACGATTCTGGCTGCAACTAAACTTTTTTTTTCCCTAAGCCAATGAAGTTTCTTGAAAGTTAAAGAAACAAGGAGAGAGACATAAAAAATCTCTCACTTGTCCAAAATACATCCAAAACAAAGGAGCCTCAACAACAAAATACTGAGTACTCCCCAAAAAACCAAACTTCCTAAACTAAAAAGAACAAAACATAATATAAGATATAGCTAGAATCCAATCAACTGATGCAACTCTAACAGATAAGCTCATATAATGAAATCAGAAAAAATATTAGGAGGTTACCACTTGTTCTTGATGAAAAAAAAATTCAGCACTCAATGGAAAAGGATCACATCTCACCACCTTGCCAAAACCAAATCAGCTCAAGACATACCTGACTTTGCCAATCAATCTGTCAGACCATTAGCTTCTCTAATCATCAGCAAAGCCAAACCAAAATCATTGAAACTTCATTTTTGAAATTCCATTACACCAGTCGCATTAAAAAACGACAATCAAGCTGAGAGTTTGAAAATCCCATAGCCAATGACAATTCATTAAAATGTATTTAAAGTACTTGTTAAGCTCCACTTTATAAAGCCATTAGGAGGTGCATATGACAACCAAGCAAACACCAATCCCACAATCATGTATACACGTATTTCCTCAAGCCACATCTTCCTTTGCCAAAGAACCAACCATGCCATTAGCTTCTGAAAATATATACTGATATAATCAATGGCCAGCCTTATCATCAACTTTCAAAATCATCCATCCCTTCCACATCATTCTTTGCCAAAGAATCAACCCTGCCGTTAGCTTATCCAAATACATTCTAATATAAGCATTGACAACCTTCCCATTAACAACCAGAATCACCCAAAAAAACACATTTCACATGTCATGAAACCTGACAGAAGCTATGATTAGCAAACGACACGTACACAACTCACCTCCTTGATTTATGCTTATGAACAAAACAACATTGGGTACCCGGATTCTTCTAAGCTTTCTTCCCTTTCAAAAGCTGCCTCCACGCCACAGCATTCTCCCTCTCTCTCAACCAAATAGATTTTATAAAGAACAAAATAATAGTTTTGTTACAAGTGTATAGAGCATCTTAAGAACATACAACTAGCAAACAAGAAACAAATCAAACCAACCGTAAATTCAAAACTAAAATTCCTTGCTCCACCGAATATCAATAAAAGAAGAATACAGAGAATTCATCATGGGGAACAAATCAAACAAAACTTCCAAGTAAATAAGAACCATTCCCAGTTAGCCACCAATAACATAACAAATTGACCACCTCCATCAACATCTTAAACCCGTCCAAAATTTCACATTTTGTTTTAATTGTATAGTAGTACTGAGCACTGACTATAGATATTGATGATAGATAGTATTGACTGGTGATGAAAAAGGGTGAAAAATCATAAGTTAATGGAATGCATTACCTTGATAATAGAGAACCTATCGGGTTTCACATCAAAATTTGCAATCTTATCAATTACAGTTTCCAGCAAAATGTTCACCTTGTCGTTATAACCAGAGAGTGTCACCTATAGAAGAAAAACCATACTAAGTTAGGAACACAACTTAAATAATAAAGAATATAAGGAATGATGCAGGCTGATTCTACAATCCCTGGATCCACAAACCCACCTAGAGAACGAGCAAGAAAATAATTTACTTAAATTAATTTTTAATAACAAAATAGTCTTAGATCATAATTTTAAAATCAGGAAATGCTTCCTCTTTTGAGCATCCTATCCAGGTCATAATTTTGCATATTTACTTACATGTAGGATGTATGATTTGATTATATCATATAATTATTCTATCAATTTCTTTATTTAATCTTATTAATCTTGCTTTTTCAAAACCTTGCATATATATCAGCATAATTTTTTTTTTTCAAATTTTGTTATATGAACTCTTCATTTTATCTTAGAGTATCCGTGTCTGACATTTCTTGAACACTTAATTATTCATGTAGGTATAACACTCTGCTCCTCAAAATTAATATAAAAAATATTAAAAAAACAAAAACATAGTGTATCCATGTTTGATACCATATCATGATGTCATGTAATAGTGGGTTTAAAAGATTTCATAGAAATAAATCGAGGCTCTACCAAATACCAATAGCCACTCAAGTTGATGCCAAATAAGAAATGAGAGGAGCATTTACCTCAAAACCTCTGTCTGTGTGCCGTATATAACAATGAAGGCCAGCAACTTGAGCGTAGTAAACTGAAGGATAGAAGATAAAACGCGGGTTTTGTCAAGAAGGTGGGGAGCGGAGCTTTTGAATTTTGAGTAAAGAGCAAGAAAAAAGGGGGAACAGAGCAGAAAATTAATTGCGATTAACAAAGAATTAACTGCTAAGACAATTAATTTACCGTGTTCATTCAAGTAATCCCTCAACAACCGTAGAAAAATGTTTCTAAGAACTTCAGCTTCAGGAGAGATTCTAGCATGGGGACAGTTGAATTCAATTTTAACAAATGCCTTGGGTATGGAGAACATTGTATCAGGTTTGTACCACAATTTTGAATAGGATGACTTTCTTAACAAAACTGGAAACTTGACCTGCTTGATCGAATATATCCGAAGCTTAATTCATTAAATCAAAGTAACTACTAACTAGAGTTGGGACTTGGGATCAATCGATAAAGACAATTACTACAAATAAACTTGATTGAACAACTTAACTTTTCTCGGGCATCCTTGAGAGAAAAATTTTTAGGTATGAACATATTAGCTGCTGGTAGCTGCAAATTATCAATAGGAGCTGATGACATCCATTTCTGCAATCAAAGTAAAAGGTTCCATCAAGTACCTTTTTCTCTTGATGTAATTAAATTAGTTACCACTTACCATACACTTATAAACTAGAGAGTATAGCAAAAGAATGGAATTCTACGAATTTATTATATAACAATATGATGGGAAAGATCAAAGGCAACCTCAATCATCGAGGTAGTGACCCGCTCAACAGAATAAGCAGTACAATACCACGGTTCAACCTTATCCGTCTTCCCTTCAAATTTCTTTGACGCCCAGAAGATTCTGTTAAAACAGAGAGCACTTATTAGAGGAAAAAAACATAGCACAAACACCAACATATTTATATCTAGGATTTTTTGTTCAAATGAAAGAAAAAAAAATGAGGGAAGGGAAAAGGAAAAGAAATACCAGAAAGAAAGGTTTTTTCTTCTAAATTGTTTGGCATGAAGTAAAATAATTATAATAATAATAAAGCTGGTTGAATCGTAAATTAATCGGATTATTATTTTAAACCGACAAGCTACAAATAAAATGAGAGAGAGAGTGATGGTACGACGGGAAGCAACGCCACAATCCAAATGGGAATCACAGACGCAGCATGTCAGATTTGGAGCACTGGAAGAGGAAACTTATTACTGTTTATGTTGATAACATCCATCTTAAGGGTAGGGGAAGTGAGTTGCCGGACTTGGTAATGGAGTATGGCAGGGTTTTGGATTTCTACATTCCTCTCGATAGAAGAAATTCAAGACACGGAAAATTTGGCTTCTTTAGGTTCAAAGACCTGAGAAAGGCTTTGTCAGTCATAAGAGCACTGGATGGCACAAGCTGGAATGGATGGTTCTTAAGGGTGGGACTAGCAAAGTATGAGAGGGATATGTAGGTGCTGCAGGAAAAAAACCAGTTGTTAGAAATGTCAGTAGTGCTTCACGGCCTCGCTTGACAACAACGGGAGATGATAGACCATCGTATACGGAAGTGGTCAGAAGAAATCTATCAAATCAGACAACCAATGCCTTTGATGTTCCATCAATAGGAAAGAATAAATGGTCGAAGAACCCTTACAGATCGCTGATGTGCAGCCTGATGATGATAAGCCGACAGTCATGAAGGAGGAAGAATTAGTCAATTAGATATGCAATGGCTAAAAAATTGTGCAGTGGCTGAGGTGAAAAACCCTCAATCAATCCACATGCTGCAACAGCATATCTTCAGCCAGGGGGTCTCACATGTTACGACAAATTCTCAGTTACTGTAATGGGAGGCAGCATGATATTGTTAAGATTCGAATCTAGGGAGGAAATGTTAGGTATGTTGAAGGATGGAAAAACACGGCTGACTGAATGGTTCTTCTGGACCAAACCATGGAATATGGAGTTGATATTTTACGACAAATTCGTCTGGTTGAAGGTAAAAAACATCCGTGTTATGATTTTTTCCAAAAAAAAAAAAATGGTAATGAATGAGGTAGCTTCATTACAATCGACGATGGTACAATGAAGAAAAAGAGATAGGATTTTTTTTTTTGGGTTCAGATTCTTTTGGATTCACGTTTTGTCTGAGTTCGGTCTCTAACTTTCTTGGTCAATCCACAATTTGGCAGGTTCAAATTTAAAATTTTTAATGCAGGTTTTGGATTTAGGATTCAAATGCATACCGAACATTCTTTTGTGAGAACTCTCTCAAAATAATTTGATTAATTAAAAGTTAAAAACTTATATTCAAATACATACCGGACATTCTTTGGTGACAACTCTCTCAGAATCATCTGTACAAGCTCAGGACTGAAATTTGAAGGCAACAATGAGCCTACCAACCAATCTTTGGGAGGATATTTCTGAGAATAGAATTTCAAAGGAATCAAACTAGCTTGTCATCAAAAAAAAAAAAAAAAAAGCTAGTTGATTTTGCAACACAAGATCCTCAATACGATAGCTCTATGCTTATTAGAACGAATCACTTTAGATTTTCGAGAAATCATTCCACAACAAACACTACTTAAGGAGCCCAGGATAGACTGATCAAGTATATAGAAGTTTTATGAGAAAAATGTATCAAAATGCTTTACAGTAAAAACCAATTACTATTAAACAAGGGACTATATAAAAGGAATTACCTGCATTCTTGATGCGATTTTCACAACATAATTAAAGGGTGGGATCTTGTCTTGATAGTGAAATTCTATCTCACAAACGGCTGAAAGCTTCAGACAAAAATAAAAATGTCTTATACGACTCTCCGATAAATAGAACCAGCAAGACAGAGTTCTTACCGCATCTCCAGCTTCACTGCTGTTCAAATTGAAGCATAGCTAGCTAGGATGACAGAATTGATAAACATTAAATTTAGCTTTAGATCTAATTCTCAATATTGAAATTCGTCATTTTTCCTAACTAATGCACGACGAACCTAGCTCAAAGTTGATCACAACATCTCACACTGCAAAAAGTATTTTTGCAACAATTTCAATGCATACTTTTTTTTTGGGTGAAAAATATTGTGCAACAGTTATTATAAGAACAATTTGAATGCATACTTTTCTTATTAAAGCTTTTTAATAAGAAAAAATTTGAGTACTTCATTACATTTTATACTAAAATTTTAAATTTTATATAATGTATTGAGGTTTAGTGGATTTTAAAGTCAAAAAGTAAAAAAGAAAAAAGAAAAAATTAATATAAGTGCGAAGTATGAAATTAAAAGAAAAATTTAGGATGGATTTTTTTCAATGGAAAAGGAAACTTATTCACACAATAATATATCTAGATGAGATTACAAAATTCGACGTAGAGAAGCAATAAATGATGTTATTTAAGTATATAATTCACCTAATGCTTTTCTGCTTTTAATCAAATAATGAAACTTAAACATAAAACTTGAAGGTAAATACCATGTTTCTAACGAATTTTTTCATGTGAGACTATCCATTAACATACGTACAAACCAGCGTGATTCTACTTTTTTGTTGCAAATCAACTTAAACAAATACCCAACAGTGAATAGCAAGAATTCAAGGTATGCAACTGCGAATAGCAAAAATTCAGGGCATATCACAATATAAGAAAAGTGAAAACCAGGACAGATAGCTAAACCATCATTAAATTTGTCAATAGCATACCTAGGTTCAGCCTATTGATAGTTACAATTCATTCTTATATTCTTAGTGCTCATACAGAGTCACATACCTCCTCAAATACCCGTTTACAAATACCAGACTCCCTCAAGAATTTGATGTATTTAAAGAGCAACCCTACAACATCCTGCATATGCTCTGAAAATTCAATCAGGGAAAGCTATATCAGTGATAAAATCAAAGAAATCTTTGTTAAAAGACATACATAATGGATTCTTACATTAATCATGTAATATAATATAATATAATATGATATGATATAATATGTCCAGGATCTTTGGCAGAAATCAAATAAACATAAATGCTAACCATGACCATCTTCAGTAAGATCAACTGTTACTGTAAAAAAAGAGAGCTCCGATGTTATCTCATTTTCATGAGCAAACAATTGCATAGCCCATCCTGCAAATTTTTTTTCAACAATTTCATTAATTTTCGAAGTTTATTTGTCATACCAACTATATAAAGAGATTTTATCAGCTATGATAACTGGCACCCTTTTTTAAGGCCTTCTAATCATAGAACAAACAAAATGATAAAAACTATTAAAGAACGTTTTGTTTGCGAAATCTAATATTCTTAAAAGGGAAAGTAATTCTCCCTTAAATGATCTTGCTTGACTAATTCTGAAGGATATTAGATTTATGTGTTGGAGTTGCTATATTTTAATCACATCATTTATTACTGTATTGCCTTTAGTTACATTATTAGTTGAAGTTTGTATGTATATTTTCTTAAGTTGCATAGAGCATAATTGTTATTCTAACTTTGATTATTCTTAAGCAGAGTAAATATAAGAATTGATTTTTACGATAAGATCAATGTGGGGTTGAAAGGTGTGCTAAATTATTTTTGGTTTTATTGTGTACATAATATGTAAATTATTTACTTATTTAACATATAAATTAAGAAAAATATTATGAAAATATATTATAATTATTTTCATAATATATTTTTATAATAGACTATGTTTTTCATCTAAAAACGTGGTTTCTTTTCATAATAGATTATATTTTTATCTTAAAAATGTAGTTTATGTTGATTCTACTCATATCCTGTGAGTAGCATTTTTTTTGTCTTTGTCTCATAATATATTTTCAACAAAAACTATGTTTTTAAAATTAAAAACATAATTTTGTTGAAACTATAGAATTTTTAAAATAAAATTTCTCATAATATGTTTTTAATAAAGACTACATTTTTAATCTTAAAATCATAGTCTTTTATTGAAACTAAAAAATTTTTAAAAAATAATTTTCATATATAATATATTTTTAACAAAAACTACATTAAAACTACATTTTTTTATCTTAAAAATGAAATCTTGTTGAAACTATAAAACTTGCGTATATGATTGAATCTCAATTAATTATTTAACTTTTTGGATATTGAAGAGTAAAATAGATCTTAAAAACCATTTTTTTTTTGGGCAAAAGATGGAAAAAATTTAAATTCTAGGTGAAATGCAAAAAAACTTTAGGAAGATTAGAGTTTTAGATTCTCTTATTCTTCCCTCTTTGACATTGTTGGAATTCAACATTTTTGTACTCCATTGACAGCACCCTAAACCAAAGGAATCAGATTACGAAAAGTAAAATTTCAAAAGAGAAAATTAAAATTTGCTAACCAAACACCCCTAAAAGGATTTTTTAGATACTACTTGCAATTTAACCTACTCATACATCAAATATCCATACATCGAAAGGTTCCCATTAATGATGTTAATTTTGTTTTGGTACCAATCGTAGCGGCCGGTAGACTTTAGTTATACAAAAAAGGTATTATTAAGAGTAGTTTTTTGTATCAGACTTGGTATCAGATAATACAAATTGTTTTTATTAGTTTCGACTAGTTTCGGTAAATTTTATTAGATTAACTTATTTCGGTTGATACGTAATTGTGAAACACATTTTGTAATTTTTAACTTATCTTTTGTTGTTTGATTATTTTTTAACATAATAAAAATAAAATTAATGGATAAAATCTCTCTAAAATTAAGTGTCTCTATTTTTTACAACTTATTTTCTTTTACACTTAATTTTTCCATATTTCAATTTTTTAAAAAATGATTGTGCTCCTCTCAAAAGTTTAATAATTCTGATGTCAAAGTTATTTTTTTTTTTTGTCTATTTGTTTTTATCTTAATAAATTTTTTGCATGAAAAAATAAAAATAGTTATTTAAATATCAAATAATTGTAGACACTTTGATCTGTCCAAGGTGTTTTTTTTAATTAAAAAATTAGAAAAATTCTAGGGAGGTTGGATTGGTTTGGGATTGTTTCTTTGGGTTATTGAATTTGGGATAAATTCGAGATGAAAGTTTGGATTTAAAAGAAAGTAAAATTCATATTTTGTTTAGGGTTTTTAGGCTCAAAACCTTATAAATACATGCCCATGGATTAGAGGAAGAACACAAAAAATCATAGAAATTAAAAACACAAAAAGCAGAAAGTAGTAAGAAAATAATTTTCGAAGATTTTTGTGTAAAAAAAAAGATGGATTTTTCTAAAAAAATCTAGAAAATTCCTGGATTTCTAAAAAATTTCTAGTTTTCAATGAATTTTTCAGTGCTAATTGAATTTTTTGGCAAGTTTTTTGGCACCGATTGAATTTTTTGGCAGGTTTCCCAGAATCTGATTGAAATTCCAGCATCGATTGAATTTTAAGGTAAACTTTCAGAAAACCAACCCAGATTCTGATGAAATTTTCAGAATCTGGTGAATTGTTCAATTGGAGTTCATTCAGGTTATAGAGAAAGGAAGAGAAAAGAAAGGGAAGAAAGAGAGGGGGAAAAGGAAACCTGAAGCAGAAAGCTGGAATTTGACTTTTATAACCTTACCAAAACGACATCGTTTTGGGGTTTAAGAAGAACCAAGATCTGCGCATTTTTCATTTAGGTGATTCAACTCGTAGTGCTGACCCGTTTCTGACTAACGTTTGACTCGCGTATCAGCCAATCCCTTGAGCTGAGTCAAGCTGCCAAGTCACGTTCTCCAAGTCGCTTTTTCTACCTGGAGCTGAGCCACCAAAGCCGTTGAGTCAAGCTGTTTTCCTATTTTGGTTTTTTTTAATTTAATTTATTTTTTACATATTTTTGCATGAATAAATTTAAAAAAATATAAAAAATATAAAATTTTTTAAAATAAATGATAATTATTCGATGATGAAATTTATAGAAATTTCAAATGGTAAATTTTTATAAAATTTTAGGTGAGAAATTTTTGTCTAAATTTGTCCCAAATGGTGGAATAATTTAGATAAAGTTTCAACAGTAATAATTAATGTTTATTCTCAATAAAAAACCAAAAAAAAAGGAAAAAATAAAATTTTTTGGTTGAAAATATTTGATAATTATCCAATGATGAGATTCTTAGAAATTTCAAATGATAAATTTTCTAAGAAATCTCCAGGTGAGAAATTTCTTTAAATTTGTCTCAAATGGTGAAATAATTTAATGAAATTTCAATAAAAAATAATTTTCATATTATTTTCTTTCTGAAAAAAAAAAGAAAATTTCTAAATAGGCCCAAATGGTGGAAAATTTAAAAATTTCTAAAAAAAGAAAATATTTCTAAATTGACCTAAATGGTAAAAAATTTAGAAATTCAAAAAGAGAAAATATTTGTAATTTGGCCCAAATGGTGAAATAATTATATATATTTTCAACAAAAAGAATAATAAATAAATATTTTTTTGATAATGGAGCCTTTTCAAGAAAATAAATGGGATTCTTGAATATTCTTAAAGTGAAAAAATATTTTTAAGAATTCTACCAGATTGATGGAGAATCTTAAAAATTATTTTCAATATTTCGACATAAAAAATTTAAAACCATTTGAATCAAGCTTTAAGATGAATTTAAAATAATATGGTATCATTTTTTGGATGGGCTTATGGCGGTGTTATAATCTTTCCCACATGTAACCGAACTCGTGGATCTTGTTCTAGTTTGTAGACTTGAATCTATTCTTTTATGGACCCTTAGTCAAACTTAGGAGCTCCTTAAAATGATAGATTCTTTAAGTGGCTAATCATATCTAAATAAAAAAGATTGGTAGTAACTTCATTTGTTAAGTCTAGCTATAGATTTACGGATCTATATGTTATGACTGTTTGATAACTCTACTAGGGACAGCCATAGAGAGTCAAGCCATAAACTTTTAAATTTTTCCTATTCTTTGGTCTAATGGTTTTAAATTGTAATGATTTGTTTACTAACGGTTTTGTGTTTTTTGTCTTTTATTTTTAGGGTATGAAACCTATATGTTCTTTCATTATATGTTCCTTCACACACTATCACATACATTTGTATTATATGAGCTCTATACCTTGGCTCTGTCCCTCTTAAGAGGGAGTAAAGTATCTACGCTCTCGTGAAATGATAATCTCCATAATGGCTAACGAAATACTCCCACTTAAATTGAATCATTTTCGTTGGTAGCCTATGATTGGTGAAGATTGAAATACCTTACTAGTCTGTGATGGACAATGATGTAAAGAATAATTTGAGAACTTTTAATGGTTAAAATCACTTAACCTTACATATAGTTCACCCTTAAGAGGCTAGCTTTAAGATAGAGCCATTCCTACCCATTGATAGATGTAACCTGAAGTTAGGACACGATAAGTGATGGTTTGTGATATAACTATTTTGTTTGTTTGACTTTGTGCATTTGTATTATCATGCCATGCATCATTTTCATTTTTATATGTAACATTGTGCATCTGCATCATTTTCATTTTATCTATGAAAGTATGCATTTCATTTATGCATCAATATACCAAAAATAAAGCATAGCATAGCATTTTTTATCATAATTATAGTGCTCAAGGTTCAAAGATAGCTCCACCAAGTAAGAACCTCACTTACCAATACAATAAAAGAGCTTAAGCCAGATAGATGAAACAAGAAAATTTCAACCATCTTGAGAGGATAGAGAAAGCCCAAGAGCTTGAAGGAAATTAAATAGGATTCTAGAGGCTTTGAATAAGTTGAACAAGGGGAAGAATGTCAAAGAAAAAGCTAGCCAACAAAACCATTCATTACAAGCGGTGACTGACCTTCTATACCTTTCTAGCTTTAAGTTTCATCAAGCTCAATCCACTCATGATGCATCACCTCAATAGTTCACATACCCTATAGGATATACATACCCTAAAATACCATCTGCTTCGAATCTGAGGCAGTACCAAAGTTATGTAAATCTTATCTTTACTAGAAAAATGATGAAACTACTACCAATCCCCAACTTAAATGATCTAAAAGAGAAAAGAAAATTGAGGCCTAAGGAAAAAGAGACTTTGAAAGCCTAAAAAATTGAACAGAAGATGAACTTATTAGAAGAAAGTTTACGAGCTATGGAAGGAATTAATTTTTATGGTTTCGTAGATGCTGCAAGGC